CCGTTCCATTCGACTTTTTGCCTGTAATTCGAATGGCAAAACAACTTGTTCTACCCGACCCTGTTCTCGTGTCAGAATTATCACGAACAGCGATGAACAATACAAAATGTATCACATGTTCCAAAGTCGCTCTCTGTCTCGGGCATGATGTCGATCTTGATCGAGACATTTGTGTCTGTCCGTCGAATCGTCTCGGTCGCCGATGTTTCATTCCATTCGATCCATGCACTGAGAAGAGTTGCAATCAACATGGACAATGTATACCATTTGATGGACGTTCTTATTTAGAAGATCAGTCCTTTTGTGTGTGTAATGAAGGTTGGACCGGTTCCAATTGTGAATATGCTGAAGCACACATTCATGTGTCATTTGCTCGAAATATTCCATTTCCATCGTCGAACATTGCATTAATTCATGCAGTGGATATTGTTGCAGATCGCAAATATGTTCGTCGTTTCACCTATTTCCATCGTCTTCGTAAAGAAACATCAAATTTCACTGTTTTTATGCATCGTGATTCTTATCTACCCTCATTAATATTCATTCAACTTTACGAAAATCATGACCAATTCGATTACTATCTCTTATATGTTAGGAGAACAGTTGCAATAAAAATTAGTAGTGATAGCGAAGTGCATCCGTCTCGCCGATGTCGGCCAATTCATGAATTATTCAATAGCACTGTTCTTGCCCAATCTCCATTGCGTCGTGTCAAAAATTATCAACGACCGTGTCTTGAACGACAACATATCGAATATCTGCAATGTTTCTATGACGATAAACTCATGTGTTTATGCGATATGACCAATCATACCAACTGTTTCAATTTTGATTCTACTTCGCACAAATGTTCATCAAAAAAGTGCAATGGGCGAGGCATGTGTGTGCAGAACGCAGAGATATGTCCGACAAGATCAATGTGCTTCTGTGAACGATGTAGTTACGGATCAACTTGTCAATTCACAAGAGCTGGCTATTCTCTTTCTCTTGATGCTATCGTCGGTTCGCATGTACGTACAACAACAATTAGTAATTTTCACCAACCAGCTATTATTCAAATGACAAAAGCCATACTCAGCATTGTAATCATCGTCGGCATCATTCTCAATATATTCGCCACTGGCACATTTGTTCAACGATCTACACACGAACTTGGCTGTGGTCTCTATCTCCTCGTTTCATCATTGTTCGGTCTCTTGACAATGATTGTACTCATATGCCAAATGATTTTTGTGTTGCATGCCAAACAAAACAATGTCAGTTGTTCACTAGTCGAATATATTCTTAAATGGTGGCCGACAAGTTGTGAATGGTTGAATGCATGCATCGCCATCGAACGCACAGTTGCCATTGTACGAAAAACCCACTATTCTCGTGCAACAAGCAAACATCTTGCCAAATGGATCGTGACCGGTGTACTTATCTTTCTTGCTCTTGTCTGCTCGTTTGAATTGGTCTTTCGTCGCATGGTTATTGATACAGAAGATGAACAACCATGGTGTGTTCTCACACTCAATGCTGAACGACCAGCACTTCTAGCTTTCTATTCCAGTTTAAATATACTTATGTTCTTGTTACCACTAGTAATCAATTTGGTCAGTGCTGCAATCATTATCCTCGGAACTCATCAGTCCCAACAAAAGACAAGACGCAAAATGGCCGATGATCCTCAGAACAAGACCAAGATAAAACAACGATTTGAAGCAATCAAGAAACAAATTATTGTACACAAGCATATTCTTATCGCACCAGTTATTCTCGCTCTGCTTGCTCTTCCCAGAACGATATTCTCTTTTGTGTTTGTGTGCACCAAACTTGATCGACGTCCGACTGTCAGTTTACTCGGCTATGTTGTAGGCTTCTTACCATCGATGGCTGTTATCTTTGCATTTGTGCTACCTTCAAAAGTTTATCGAGCAGCGCTACTCATATTCATCAAACAAACTGTACCTCAACCCATTCAGAAGTGGTTTCTTGCTCGTCGACAAACAACTTAATTAATGCTGTTTGAACAGAATATGATATGTTTTCTTTTTCTTTTCTCACATTCATGGTCTATCGGCGAGAAGTTCACAACTAAAGATCTACTTGAAATGTCCTATGATCTTAGCGCTAATGGTGAAGGAAAACATTTGATTTATATTATATTTAAAAACAAACGAGCTAGAACATTTTTTGCTGTTCACTCTGTTAAAAGTTCCTATTCATCTAAAGATAATATATTACTTGATCATTAACATCGTAGAGTGAGGATAAGGATGAGAACAGAGCTACTATGACGCGTTTCACCTCATCTGTGAGGATCGTCAGGTGGTATCGTCTCTAGATCGATTCTATACAAAATCAATCCAAGATCAAATTTCACTGCTATACTGAAGTGTAGTGGAAATTGTATGTATAGCAGTGAGTTTATAATGGAGAGATGATTCAAGCAGTCATACGGTATGTTTCGACTTTGGCTGAAAGTCATCATCAGATATGTTCGGAATCTATTATCATATCATGTTCTATACAAATAAAAACTCTCCAAATAAATAAAGAACTTAAGATGTACATATAATCATTCGTAGTAAATCGGATCAACTATACAATAAATATGAATCGATAGATAAAAGATTCAAAGTGTTTTATTGTAAGTGTATCGAAAAATACTAATAGGTTCATAGATTTATGGTGAACCGTCAGATATGTACATAGCATTTGAGTCTTATGCGAAGTTTTTCATGGCATCCTCATTTTTTTACATGATCGGTGAGCCCGTTTCTCTTGTTCTTCCATACACTTTCTTCAAATTATAATGACATGTACTCGTTCAAAATACGTTACGACTCGATCAAATCTGATGAAATTAGAACAATGAGCTTGTGTTTGAAATACTCAAGAGAACCTACATCAGAATTGATACAAATTTCCAGGACTCTCATTACTAGAACGATCAATCTCAGTACCCACAGATGGTACTATCATTAAGTAGAGACATGTAATGCGAAACAAACTAGTCAGAAGCGCATGAGGAACGTGAATAGAGTCCTGCAGGACCTGTCTCGCTTCCAATTCCGGTTCGGGTCTCACGAGGGAACATCCCCAACTGTCAAATCGCTTTTCGGTTGGTTCTAT